GTCAAAGGGCCCACCACCACTACTCAATCGTGTGCGAACCTTCCTGAGGTGATCCTAGGCACGATCAACTTCTGATCGCAACACTTCCTAGGCTACGAGATATACTCAGGGCCCTGATGAATGGGCCTTCCATCAAGTGCACAAACTCTTTCCACATTGACTGCTGTTTTGTTGAATGCCTTATGGATTATAAATTGGAGTCGTACCGATAGACTATAACAAAAACCATCATCAACCACCAAACAAGCTCCCACCCAAGGACCATGCACCTCTGCAATTAAAACACTAGAGCAATTCCAGTCACCACACTATCTTGGATTCAAGACAATTTAGTCACCACCTCCCACATCGCAGGTCGTCGTACGGTGGACCTCTCGTTTCAAATTCCTGCATTAGCTGGTCACTCAACCCGGATCATGGTGCCCTTCGCGACCGGGTCCTTGCAGCGACGACCGTTGTTGAGCGCCGCGAATCGGAACTGCTTGCCGCCGTAGTACTTCTTCAGTAAGTCGCTGCACGACTCGCCGCGCGTTTTGTAGAACTGCGCCTCAACGATCTGCTTCTTCTTCTTCCCATAGACGACCGCCTCCGTTAATGAAACTGAGTTACACATATGAAACAACTTTATGAGTAGCTAAGTTTCCAACGGACCAGCAGACACGACCGACAAGTAGGTAATCCAGCGTGAACAAATCTGACATCAACATTCACGAGATAGGGCGACATCAAATCTGACTGTGGCGCAACTCACCAGGGGAAATGAGGAGAAGAACCAGTGCCAACACCAGCATGGCGCGCACAACATCCACGAGCCTGAAACCCGTTGCCATGGCTAGGGAAAGGCTGGATTGAGAGGACGAGATGAGGCCAAGAGGCAACGAGGAGCTCGAAAGGAAATCGCAAAAACGCTGCAGGAGGAAGTGTTTGAGGGAAGAATGATGTGTTGAGAGGACGGGGATGGGTTAAATAGTACCGAGATGACAATTGAGTTTCCGGCTCCTGCGGGAAGTAGCGAGTCGCTTCTCCGCTCCTCTTGGCTGCCAACGAGACGATTCTCCGCCATGGGCGGAAAACGCGAGTCAACGGCCGTGCTGACAAAACACTTGACCGCCATCAGGCATGGAGATCGTTCCCAGTAGAGCGCAGGACAAGCGACTAGACTTACTACGTTGCTCTGTTCAGCAAAGGAAGCGACTAGACTTACTACGTTGCTCTATTCAGCAAAGGACAAGCGACTAGACTTACTACGTTGCTCTGTTCAGCAAAGGACAAGCGACTAGACTTACTACGTTTGCTCTGTTCAGCAAAGGACAAGCGACTAGACTTACGTTGCTCAGCAAAGGACAGGCTACTAGACTTATGTTGCTCTATTCAGCAAAGGACAGGCTGCTAGACTTATGTTGCTCTATTCAGCAAAGGACAGGCTGCTAGACTTATGTTGCTCTATTCAGCAAAGGACAAGCTGCTAGACTTATGTTGCTCTATTGAGCTAAGGACAAGCGTGTCAAACTTATATATGCTATAGTCTGTTTAGGCTGTAGTGGGGTAGTACTTAGAGGGTACAACACTTTTGTGTTTGCTACTTGTACCCACCTCCTTTCTAGTTCTTTCACGTCCTCTAATTATTCTCACATGGTATAGAGCAGGTTCCCTAGTGGAACTGGTTTTTCAGGGCCCACCACTAAGAAATTTTTTTTTTCCTTACCTGCCCGAAGCGCGTTTCGCGTTTGCCCTAGCAGCGCCCCGTGCGCCTGCCCTTAGCGGCCCTTCGCGGCCCCTCACGGCCTTCGCGGCCCCTTCGCGGCCCTTCGTGGCCCCTTTCGAGGCCCTTCGCGGCCCCTTAACGGCCCTTCGCGGCCCCCCCTTCGCGGCCCCCTTTTGCGGCCCTTCGTGGCCCCTTGCGCGGCCCTTCGAGGCCCCTTCGCGGCCCTTCGCGGCCATTTGCGGCCCCCTCACGGCCAGTCGCGGCCCCCTTTGCCGCCCGTCACCGGCCGTCGCCGCCCGTCGCAGACCCGTCGCCGGCCCATTGCCGCCCGTCGCCAGCCGCCGCTGGCCCATTGCCGCCCGTTGCCGGCCCGTCGCCGGCACGTTGCCGCCCGTCGCCGGCTGTCGCCGGCCCGCTGCCGCCCATAGCCGACCCATCGCCAGCCCGTTGTCGCCCGTTGCTGGCCCGTCACTGGCCTGTCGCGGCCCTGCCTGCACCGCACGAAGCGGCCCTGCCCCCCTGCTGCCGCCCCTGGTAAGCGCCCGCACTGCCAGGATCCGAGCCGCGCCGCCCAGCCGAGCCGCGCCGCCCGGCCGAGCCGTGCCGCCCAGCCGAGCCGCGCCGCCCGACCGAGCCGCGCCGCCCAGCCGAGCCGCGCCGCCCCACCGCGCCGCCCTGCCCTACCGAGCCGCACTGCTGTGCATTGCCCTACTGCCTCTGCTCCTACTGCTGCTACTGCTGCTTTTGCTGCTACTGCTGCTACTCTTGCTACTGCTCCTACTGCTGCTATGGCTAGTCCTACCGTTCTTACCTTTGACGCTGAGGGACGTGCGGTTGACTTTAACGTGTGGGTTGACGACCTCCAGCTCTTTCTTCAGTGTGATTCTAGGGATGGGGTGTCCCTTTTTGATCACACGTCCGGTGCTTCTACTGCTCCTACTGCCACTGCTGACAGTACGGTTCGCTCGCAGTGGACCACTCGTGACGCTGTTGCTCGTCTTGCTGTTCGTAGTCACCTGCCGCCTGCTGAGCGCGCGCATTTTGGCCAGTACAAGACTGCTCAGTCTTTGTACGACACTGTAGTTGCACGCTACTCCTCCCCTGCCACTGCTGCCCTCAGCCGCCTCATGCTGCCGTACCTTTTCCCTGACCTTGCTGCCTTTGCCACAGTCGCTGACCTAGTTGCTCACCTCCGCACTAGCGACGCCCAATACCGTGCTCCCCTTCCCACTGAGTTCTGTGCCAAGAACCCCCCCCCCCCATGTACATCACCCTTTACAACCTAGTCACCCGCCTCCTTGACTCACTCTCTTCAGTCAGGGACCACTTTCTCTCCCTCTGCCCCACCGAGCTGACTGTCGACCTGCTAGAGGAGCGCCTTACTGCAGCTGAGAAGAGTATCTTAGCTGTAGGTGCTTCTCGCGGCGACCGTCGCACCCCTTTCTTTGAGGGGTGTTCCCCTGTCCCCCTTCTCCCCTCGGTTGCTTTTGCTGCTGCTGTCGACCTCGTTGGCACTGAGGAGGTTGGAGCGGCGTCTGTCCCTAGTGGGAGACGCCGCAACATCAGGGGCAAGGGGAGCAAGGGTGGTGGAGGGGGCGGCGGGGGGGGTGGTGGAGGAGGTGGAGGAGGCGGAGGGGGTGGCGGTGGAGGTGGGGGTGGTGCTAGGAGTGGGGGCTTCAGTGGCGGCGGTGGAGGTGGTGGAGGCAGCGGCGGAGGTGGAGGAGGCAGCAGCAGCGGTGGTGGAGGTGGCGGCGGTGGTGGTGCTGGTCAGGGTGCAGCCGCGCAGCGTGGAGGCTTTGGTGGGAGCCAGCGCCAGCAGCAGCCGCGCTCCCGTGAGACTCCGTCGGTCCAGCAGCTTCGTGAGTGGTACGCTGGGCGTGGGAGGTCTGGGGGTGCTGGTCCCTGCACTTACGTTCTTCGCTCCGGCACTCGTAGTGGGGAGGTGTGTGGGCTTCCACACACTATGCAGCGCTGCTTCGGTTGCTTGACTGACGCTTGGCGTGCCCAGTTTCCTGACGCCGTTGAGCTCCCTCGCTGGCATGATCTGCTTCTGCAGAATGTGCCTATCTTTGATCTTGATTTCGATGCTATCCTTGCTGCCATGTATGCTATTGCTGATAGTGCTGAGGGTGACTGTTACCTGAGTGTCCCGCCCGACCCGGGCATTGCTGCTGCTGCTCTAGGTGCTAGTGCGTCTACTGCTCCAGGTGCTGGTGCGTCTGCTGCTCCAGGTGCTGGTGCGTTTGCTCTCTCTGGTACAGCACCTACTGAGTCCTTGCACACTTTCACACTTGACTCTGGTGCTTCGCGCTCTTTTTTTAGAGACAGCACCGCGCTCACGCCGCTCAGTCGGCCTGTTGCGGTCTCCCTTGCTGACCCCTCCGGAGGCCCAGTCCTTGCACACTCCTCCACGGTTCTACCGTGTCCTGCGGCCCCGTCGGGCTTGCTGTCGGGTCTCCACCTCCCCTCGTTCTCTACGAACTTGGTGAGTGGAGCTGACCTCCAGGACGCGTGGGTTGACCAGTTCACCCCTGGAGGTCAGCGTGTGACCCACTGCACTTGCTCTCGGACGGGCCGCCACCTGGCCACGTTCACCCGTCGGCCAGGGTCGAGTCTGTACACACTGACTACTGCGCCTCCTCCGGTCCCTACGTCTGGTCAGGTAGCTGCGTCTAGTCAGGTGTTTGCTGCCGCGTCCAGGTCTAGTCCTGCGTCTGCCCCCTGCTCGTGTCGTCCTCTGTCGCACGAGACTCTCCTTTGGCACCACCGCCTTGGTCACCCCTCCCTGCCTCGTCTTCGAGGTATGGCCTCCCGTGCTCTTGTCTCTGGGCTCCCCAGGTCCCTCCCTCCCCTTCCTCCGGGGCCTGCCCCCACCTGTGTTCCTTGTGTCGAGGGCCGGCAGCACGCCGCCCCTCACTCCTCCTCGTTCCCTAAGACTGAGGCCCCTCTGCAGACTCTTCACATGGACGTGTGGGGCCCAGCCCGCGTCCGTGGACAGGGTCACGAGCGCTACTTCCTGCTGGTCGTTGACGACTACTCGCGTTACACCACAGTCTTCCCCTTGCGCAGTAAGGTTGAGGTACCTGAGGTGTTGATCGACTGGATCCGCGGTGCTCGTCGCCAGCTTAGTGAGAGTTTCGGCTCAGACCTTCCTGTTCTGCGTCTGCACTCAGACAGAGGCGAGGAGTTTTCCTCCGACCTCCTGAGAGCCTTCTGTCGTTCTGAGGGCATCCGCCAGACGTTCACGCTTCCGGCCTCCCCGCAGCAAAACGGGATTGCTGAGCGCCGCATTGGCATGGTCATAGACGTCGCTCGTACGTCCATGATCCATGCGGCTGCTCCCCATTTTCTGTGGCCGTTCGCGGTTCAGTACGCGGCGCATCAGATCAACCTTCAGCCTCGTGTCTCCTTGCCGGAGACCACACCTACTCTGCGGTGGACGGGGAAGGTTGGCGATGCGTCCGCGTTCCGTGTCTGGGGATCTCGAGCTTTTGTCCGCGATACTACAATAGACAAGCTGTCCTCCCGTGCCGTTCCCTGTGTCTTCCTTGGCTTCCCTCCTGACGCACCCGGGTGGCAGTTCTACCACCCCACCTCGCATCGTGTTCTGTCCTCTCAGGACGTCACGTTTGACGAGTCGGTGTCGTACTACCGTCTTTTTCCCTACCGCACTGCCTCTCCCCCCCCCCCGCCGCTCTTCCTCGCACCAGGTACTCCCCCGGTAGACCCCCTCCCCCCCCAGGGTCCTGCCCCCTCAGGTGTGTCCCAGGTAGACCCTGCCAAGCCGGTCGAGGTAGCTGTCGACTCAGGTGCTGCTAGGGGTGCTGAGCCTGCGGGTGCGGGGACTGGGGGTGCTGAGACTGGGGGTGCTGAGTCTGGGGGTGCTGAGTCTGGGCGTGCTGAGCCTGGGGGTGCTGAGCCTGGGCGTGTGGAGCATGAGGGTACTGTGTGTGGAGGTGCTGAGCCTGCGCGTGCTGCGTCTGGAGGTGCTCTCGGTGTCCCGCCGCGGCGGGAGCCTCTCTCTCCACAGCAGCTTCGTGAGTGGTACTCTCGGCGCTGTCGGGGTGCTGCTGGAGCTACTGGAGGTCCTGCTGGGGCTTCTGGAGGTGCTGCTGGTGCTGGAGGTGCTGCTGGAGCTTCTGGAGGTGCTGCTGGTGCTGGTGATGCTGGTGGTGCTACTGGTGCTGGAGGTGCTGCTGGTGCTGCTGGTGGTGCTGCTGGTGCTGGAGGTACTGCTGGAGCTTCTGGAGGTGCTGCTGGTGCTGGTGCTGCTGGAGGTGCTGCTGGTGCTGGAGGTGCTGCTAGGGCTTCTGGAGATGCTGCTGGTGCTGGTGCTGCTGGAGGTGCTGCTGGTGCTGGAGGTGCTGCTGGTGCTGGAGCTGCTGGAGGTGGTGCTGGTGCTGGAGCTGCTGGAGGTGCTGCTGGTGCTTGAGCTGCTGGAGGTGCTGCTGGGACTGGAGACCCTGGGGCTGAGGGTACCGGTTCTGTCTTTGCTGTTTCTCGAGGCGCTGGGCGGCCGCGGCCGTACTACGTTCCGCTTCTTCAGCAGGTTCTTGGCTCCTCCTCCTCCTCCTTTACTGAGTCCACCGCCTGTTCGGTCCCAGTCGTGGTTCCAGCCAGCCTCTCCACTGCCTGGTCTTTCTCCTTACTCTGGACCGACTAGTGGTCTTACGGAGCGTCGTGAGCCTGAGTCTCGTCCTGCGTCGCCTGTCCGTCCTGTTCGCGCTGGTCGTGTTTCGCGTCCGCGTCCTCCTCCTGTCCCCGGCACTCACTCTATGACTCTGCGTCCTTCCACTGCTCCACAGCATGTCCCTCTGCCGTCTCCTCCTGCGTCCTCTCTTCCTGCCGGTCCGGACCCTGCGTCTGACTCCCTACGTGCTGCTAGTCCAGCTGTCACGCGTTTTCTGGCCACTGCTGTCACTGACCCTTTGTTTGAGTCCACTGCTGCGTCTGCTCTTGTTGCTGAGCTTGTTGACTTTGCTGCAGCCTGTCGCCTAGACTACGCCGCTCGTCTTGTTACTGAGTCTGCGTCTGTGTCTGTCTGTCCTCTGTCAGTCGGGGGTGAGTGTTCTCTTGGCACGGACGTTCTTGAGGACAGACAGGAGGAGTTTGAGTGCTTTGCTGCTTCTGTACCTCATCTCGTGTCCATGCTGCTTGCACCTGAGGGAGACCCGGATGCACCAGACATCCCGACCCCGCGCTCTTACGCAGAGGCGATAGAGGGTCCCTACTCCTCTCAGTGGCAGGCAGCCATGGACGCCGAGATGGCTTCCTGGAAGTCCACACGCACCTACGTCGACGAGGTTCCCCCGCCTTGGGCGAACATCGTCAGTGGCATGTGGATCTTCAGGGTGAAGCGGCCGCCGGGTTCTCCGCCTGTCTTCAAGGTGCGTTACGTTGCACGTGGCTTCAGTCAGCGACAGGGAGTTGACTTCTTTCAGACCTTCTCCCCTACCCCGAAGATGACCACTCTTCGGGTACTGCTGCACGTAGCTGCTCAGCGTGACTACGAGCTCCACTCGCTTGACTTCATCACAGCCACACTACAGGGCAGCCTGCACGGGGAGATCTGGCTGCGCCGCCCACCTGGCTTCACTGGGTCGTTTCCAGCTGGTACCCAGTGGAGCCTCCGCCGGCCAGTCTACGGTCTCCGTCAGGCACCTCGTGAGTGGCACGACACACTCAGGACGACTCTTGCTGCTCTTGGTTTTGCTCCTTCCACTGCTGACCCTTCTCTGTTCTTACGCACTGACACTACTCTGCCGCCGTTCTACGTTCTCGTGTACGTAGACGACCTCGTCTTTGCTACTGCTGACACTGAGGCACTCGCCCACGTGAAGTCCGAGCTGCAGAAGAGACACACGTGCACAGACATGGGTGAGCTCACAAGCTATCTTGGCTTGCGGATCACCCGGGACAGAGCGCAGCGCACCATTACCTTGACTCAGTCACACATGGTGCAGCAGGTCCTTCAGCGCTTCGGCTTCACGTACTCCTCGCCACAGTCCACTCCTCTGCCTACCGGTCACTTGCTCTCAGCTCCACCTTCGGACGAGTCCGTAGAGCCGAGTGGCCCGTATCCAGAGCTTGTGGGCTGCCTCATGTACCTGATGACTTGCACACGACCTGACCTCGCATACCCTCTCAGCCTTCTGGCTCGCTACGTGGCTCCCGGCAGGCACTGAAAGGTGCACTGGGATGCTGCGAAGAGGGTGTTGCGATACTTGTGCAGTACATCGGGCATGGGGCTCGTGCTTGGAGGACGGGCTCGAGTTGTCCTCACTGGTCACGCTGACGCCTCCTGGGTTGACGACTTGGCTACGCAGCGGTCGTCACAGGGTTACACCTTCAGTCTTGGCTCCGGTTCTGTCTCTTGGCGGTCTACCCGTTCTTCTTCTGTTCTCAGCTCCAGTTGTGAGGCTGAGATCTACGCTGGGGCCATGGCTGCACAAGAGCTACGCTGGCTCACCAACCTGCTGACCGACTTGGGAGAGGCGCCTCGTTCTCCTCCAGTTCTGTACGTCGACAACAAGGCCATGCTGGCGTTGTGTCAGGAGCACAGACTGGAGCACAGAACGAAGCACATTGCTCTGCGCTACTTCCTTGCTCGAGAGTTGCAGCAGCGTGGCCAGCTTCGTCTTGCTTACGTGGCCTCTCAGGCCAACACTGCTGATGTTTTCACCAAGGCCCTTCAGCCTTGTGATCATCAGCGTTTCTGTACTGTGTTAGGCCTTGTACCTACTGTTCCTCACTTGTTGACTTCTTGACTCTTCTTGTACTGTACTCTATATACATATACCTGCATGCTTACACTTGCTAGGTTGTGTTCACTGTATTGTTTGCTTTCCTTTATATAACTCTGCATGTGAACTGGCCTTGTGGCCCTTTGCTTGTGCTCAGACTGCGTGGTGACTTTGTGATCCACCCTGAGCTTGCTTTGCCTTCTTGACTGGTCTTGTGACCCCTTGTTCTCCCCCACTTTGCCTATGGGGGTGTGTCAAACTTATATATGCTATAGTCTGTTTAGGCTGTAGTGGGGTAGTCCTTAGAGGGTACAACACTTTTGTGTTTGCTACTTGTACCCACCTCCTTTCTAGTTCTTTCACTTCCTCTCATTATTCTCACAAAGCGACTAGACCTACACCGTACGGCGTTCATGTAACCCAGCACAGTCCGTAGTACTGTATTCCCTGATCTTTGGGTGCAGCACAAGGGTCGGCCCCGCGATGGGGTGGTTGGACGATGAGTTTGTGCGAGAGCTGCGCCAGTTGGTAATGTCGCATGGGTTGCGTCGCCTGACAGAGTGGCGGATGCGAAAAAATAGTGGCAACAGAGGGGAGAATACAGTACTGTACTATAACGATGCGATAGCATAGCATGCATCCGAACAGCCCAGCCCGCCTAGGGAAGGTTGCATGCGTTTGAGAGCCCAGTCCCAGTCCTGTCCGCCCACCATCCGGCCCAGGATTTACGAAGTAACTTTCGGGCAAGTGTTACGAATGTATATATGCCGGGTAGGCGTCATGATGCTTTCCAAAGGCCCGTGAATGCACAGCCGCGCCCCCTACCTCCCAGTTGCTGCTCGGTTCGACACATGCAAAGCCAAGCAGCCATGGCGGTGCTTGCGTGCCCGCCAAACCAAACTCGCGGTTCTCGTGGTACCCCGTAGATGCTCGTCGCGGTCGTTTCGTCTTCTCACAATGCCTAGCAGCCGTACCACGCTCAAACATTATATGAATAAAAGCATTTACTTCGAAGAAAATGCTTTGTATTCATATATGTTTGAACATATTACGGGAGTCTTGGTATTTTGAGATGGTTCGCGAAGGAGCGGTTCGCAACGAAGCTGGTCGCCTAACCTTCCCCGCGACTCGAACTCGGCACCGCGTCGTACTCCCCCTCATTCTGTCGTTGCTCCTGCTTCTCGCTACCACCTCCGATGCGCTAGACTTCACCGCCGGCCAATCCGCCGCCGATTGCGCGGAAAGCAATGCCGCTGGTTCACGGACTTGCGCTGCTGCTAGTGCCGACGCGCCGGCCAAAGGATCTGCGACCTATTTGGATTCAAAGACGTCTGACAATGAAGCTGATTTAAAGTCGTCTGATAATGAAGCTGATTTAAAGTCGTCTGGTAATGAAACCAAATCTTATCCAGACGAATCCGCGAACTACGGAGGATCTAGAAAGATTGGGAGCGTTGAGCATGACGTGGTAGGATCGGAACGCACCACGGTGGAAGACATGCTGACATGGATGGGACTGGATTGGACGATGGATTCGGAAGGATCTGAATATGGCATTGTCGTTGACGGTACTATCGAGGTTAGTGCACCTATTAGCGCTACATTCGCTGTCGCGATTCGCCACCTGCTGCGTGGTGCTTCACAAGTTGACACGTGTCACCTTCCCGTGTGTCCTCGTGTCGCCAGGTGGACTTCTCCACTCGCAGCGTGCACGAGGCCGTGCCTGAGGATCGAGGCATGTCAGACAATCCAGAGGGCGGCGCAAGCATGTGGAAACCCAATGACACCCAATAGGGACTCTTTACAATCATTCCCACTTCAGATTCTACCAGATTCTACCAGGGTTCTCCTGGTGCCCCGAGACTTAACTAAGTGCTTAGGGATGCCCGCAGTAGGTGCTCACTTAAACATCAGCCTCATACCTCTTTCCAGAACCGAGCCCTTAGATTCTTGAACCAGACGTGCACCGCTTCCTCTCCCCGTTCCGCTTCCTCATCTCCTCCCTTTCCCCCCCCCCCCCCCCCCCCCTCCCCCTCCCCCCTCTTTCCCCCCTTGTCATCCCCCTAACGGCACTGGCAGGGCGGACATTGGCTTGAAGGCAGCGCGCAGAATAGAGGCAGGCGAGGTGATTCTGGTAGTTCCACAAATGTTCTTCATTGTGGCCAACTGGATTGCACTGGTGAGTGTGGCTGTGTGTCTGGGGATATGGCTGTGTGGATATGGCTGTGTGGATATGGCTGTGTGTAGGCATGATAGTGTGGGTGTGTGTGTGAGGTTGAGGCAGAACAACCATAATTTTCTTGCCTCCTTTTCCTCTCCAACCCTCTCTTTTATTTGGCAGAACGAGTCAGAGCGCCATCTACAGCCCTACGACATGGCACTACCAGACTGGGACTCATTCACCGTGCTGGCCGCCTGGCTGCTGCGAGAGAGGGCTAAAGGGGCTGCCTCCCCCTGGGCGCGCTACCTGCGCTCCCTGCCCGCCTACGTGCCGCTGCCTGCGCTCTTCCCACAGGACCTGATAGACCAATTTGAGTACTGGCCCATAGTTGATCAGGTGCGTGTTTTGTGGGGTGAGTGGGAGGGAGAGTGGAGAGTGGGAGAGAGGGTCAATATGAGGGAGCTCTTTCCCCACGACCTGAGTGACCAGTTTGAGTACTGGCCCATAGTTCATTAGGTGGGTGGGAGTGCACGGAGTGAGGGTGGGACTGGCCGATTTTGGATCAGGTGGGTAAATTATGGAGTGAGTGTAAGGGCAAGTCTGGGAAATAAACGACCTGGTTGCGTTGCATACTCTACTCTACTTCACTTGCACCCCCTGTCTCACGCTCCGTTTTTCGCACTCCCCTTCACACACTCTTTTCACACACTCCGTGCATGCCTGATTGTCATTGCTCGCTACCTCTCCTATCCGTCTCGCATCTCCCGTGTCTCCCCCTTTCCCCCCCCTCTCTCCCCTCCTTCCCCACCCCACCACAGGCCACGCGTCTCAAGGCAGCATATGCCGACCTGCACGATCTCTGCAGCAGCAACCCTGCTGCCATCGCCCATGCCTCTTCCCTCCCTCCTTTTCCCCACCCCAACCCTTCTTCCCCCTCCTCCCTTTGAAATCCCCCTGCCACAGGCCACGCGGCTCAAGACAGCATACGCCGACCTGTACGACAGATGCAAGAGCAGCAACCCCGCTGCCATCGCCAATGCATCTCGCTCCGAGTTCTACTGGGCGCTCTCTATAGTCACATCACGCTCCTTCACCTTCTCCCCTTCCCTGCGCGCCCGTGGGGATGGGGAGGAGCAGCAGGCGGAGGGGACAGACGGGGCGGAGAGGGGCGAGGATGGGGGGTTAGATGGGGCGGATGGTGCAGATGGGGCAGAAGTAGCAGCAGAGGTAAAGGAAGGAGTGGCAACAGAAGGGGCAGGAGGTGAGGCAGAGGAGGGGCGTTCTGGCAGCAGCAGCAGCAGCAGCAGCAGTGGTGGTGGAAGTGATGGCGGTGGCAGCAGGGAGGAGGATTGGTATGCCACGTCAGCAGCAATGCTCCCATTCGCTGATCTGTTCAACCATGATTTCTACTCCAATGTGGGATGGAAGGTGAGGAGTGGAGAGTGAGGAATGGAAGGTGAGGGGTGGAAGGTGAGGAGTGAGAGGTGAGGAATGGAAGGTGAGGGGTGGGTGGGAGGTGAGGGGTGGGTGGGAGGTGAGCATGGCGAGCAGCTTAGCGTATCATATCACATACCTACTCCTTCCTTCCCCCCTTTCCCTTACCTTTCCCCCTCTGCCATCCCTTCTCTCCTTTCCTTCCTCTCCCCTTCCCCCTCTCCTGTCCCTCCTCTCACCTTCCCCCTCTTCTGTCCCTCCTCTCCCCTTCCCCTTCTCCCGTCCCTCCTCTCCCCTCCCCCTCTTCTGTCCCTCCTCTCCCCTTCCCCTTCTCCCGTCCCTCCTCTCCCCTCCCCCTCTTCTGTCCCTCCTCTCCCCTTCCCCTTCTCCCGTCCCTCCTATCCCCTCCCCCTCTTCTGTCCCTCCTCTCCCCTCCCCCTCTTCTGTCCCTCCTCTCCCCTTCCCCTTCTCCCCCTCTTCTGTCCCTCCTCTCCCCTTCCCCTTCTCCCGTCCCTCCTCTCCCCTCCCCCTCTTCTGTCCCTCCTCTCCCCTTCCCCTTCTCCCGTCCCTCCTCTCCCCTCCCCCTCTTCTGTCCCTCCTCTCCCCTTCCCCTTCTCCCGTCCCTCCTCTCCCCTCCCCCTCTTCTGTCCCTCCTCTCCCCTTCCCCTTCTCCCGTCCCTCCTCTCCCCTCCCCCTCTTCTGTCCCTCCTCTCCCCTCCCCCTCTTCTGTCCCTCCTCTCCCCTTCCCCTTCTCCTGTCCCTCCTCGCCAGCTCTCAGGGGACCACTTTCTCTTCACGACCTACCAAGCCATCGAGAAAGGAGAGCCGCTGAGGATATCGTATGGAGAGTATCGCACCGTTGACATGGTGGCGCAGTATGGCTTTGTCCCTGTGTACAATCACTTTCACACCGTCCTGCTCTTCCCCACGTGAGTCCTGCTCTTCCCCACGTGAGTCCTGCTCTTCCCCACGTGAGTCCTGCTCTTCCCCACGTGAGTCCTGCTCTTCCCCACGTGAGTCCTGCTCTTCCCCACGTGAGTCCTGCTCTTCCCCACGTGAGTCCTGCTCTTCCCCACGTGAGTCCTGCTCTTCCCCACGTGAGTCCTGCTCTTCCCCACGTGAGTCCTGCTCTTCCCCACGTGAGTCCTGCTCTTCCCCAGCTGGGTGCTGCGTTGCGTTGCACTCTCAGCCACCCTTCAAAGAGTGTATCCTAATGCTCTGTTTGCCCCAACCCCGTCCAAACCACTATGTTTCGTCCCTCCAACCCCCTGGTTTTTGCCTCCAGCTCTGATCGTCTGGTGGAGTATACAGTGCAGCAGACGCACCCCACTCAACCGCACCCCACCCAGTCACACCCTGCTAATCCAACGCTGAGAGGGGCACTGAGAGTTGCGGCCTTGGTGAGGGAGGCGGTGGAGAGGATGAGAGAGGAGAGGCGGACAAGGGTGATGGGACAGGGGCGGGTGCAGGAGGAGGGGGAGGAGCTGGAGAGCGCAAAGCAGCATCTGGTGGTGTGGACGGGCAGGCATGCGAGCCCTGAGCTGCTGGCCATGGCTGCTGCTGTCTGGCACTGGGTACACACAGGCCGAGGTGAGAGTGCTTGGAGGGGTTCAGTGTGTTGGAGTGTGGTAAAATGGTATGAGAATGGGTTCAGGCCCTTGCCCCCTCCTCTGCCGTCTCCTCTACCATGCTCACTCTTCTCCTGAGTTGAATGTGGAACAACTCGCCAGAGACTGCTCTTCCCTCTCACTGACACTCTCCCTTGCTTTCTCTCCCCCCTACTCTACACTCTCCCTTGCTTCCTCTCCCCCCTACTCTACACTCTCCCTCGCTTCCTCCTCTACACTCTCCCTTGCTTCCTCTCCCCCCTACTCTACACTCACCCTTGATTCCTCTCCCCCCCACTCTACACTCTCCCTTGCTTCCTTTCCCCCCTACTCTACACTCTCCCTTGCTTCCTCTCCCCCCTACTCTACACTCTCCCTTGCTTCCTCTCCCCCCTACTCTACACCCTCCCTTGCTTCCTCTCCCCCCTACTCTACACCCTCCCTTGCTTCCTCTCCCCCCTACTTTACACGCTCCCTTGCTTCCTCTCCCCCCTACTCTACACCCTCCCTTGCTTCCTCTCCCCCCTACTCTACACTCTCCCTTGCTTCTTCTCCACCCTACTCTACACTCTCCCTTGCTTCCTCTCCCCTCTACTCTACACTCTCCCTTGCTTCCTTTCCCCCCTACTCTACACTCTCCCTTGCTTCCTCTCCCCCCTACTCTACACTCTCCCTTGCTTCCTCTCCCCCCTACTCTACACTCTCCCTTGCTTCCTCTCCCCCCTACTCTACACCCTCCCTTGCTTCCTCTCCCCCCTACTCTACACTCTCCCTTGCTTCCTCTCCCCCCTACTCTACACTCTCCCTTGCTTCCTCTCCCCCCTACTCTACACTCTCCCTTGCTTCTTCTCCACCCTACTCTACACTCTCCCTTGCTTCCTCTCCCCCCTACTCTACACTCTTCCTTGCTTCCTTTCCCCCCTACTCTACACTCTCCCTTGCTTCCTCTCCCCCCTACTCTACACTCTCCCTTGCTTCCTCTCCCCCCTACTCTACACTCTCCCTTGCTTCCTCTCCCCCCTAATCTACACTCTCCCTTGCTTCCTCTCCCCCCTACTCTACACTCTCCCTTGCTTCCTCTCCCCCCTACTCCACACTCTCCCTTTCTTCCTCTCCCCCCTACTCTACACTCTCCCTTGCTTCCTCTCCCCCCTAATCTACACTCTCCCTTGCTTCCTCTTCCCCCTACTCTACACTCTCCCTTGCTTCCTCTCCCCCCTAATCTACACTCTCCCTTGCTTCCTCTCCCCCCTAATCTACACCCTCCTTTGCTTCATCTCCCCCCTACTCTACACTCTCCCTTGCTTCCTCTCCCCCCTACTCTACACTCTCCCTTGCTTCCTCTCCCCCCTAATCTACACTCTCCCTTGCTTCCTCTCCCCCCTACTCTACACTCTCCCTTGCTTCCTCTCCCCCCTACTCTACACTCTCCCTTGCTTCCTCTCCCCCCTAATCTACACTCTCCCGTGCTTCCTCTCCCCCCTAATCTACACCCTCCCTTGCTTCATCTCCCCCCTAATCTACACTCTCCCGTGCTTCCTCTCCCCCCGCTAATCTACACTCTCCCTTGCTTCCTCTCCCCCCTACTCTACACCCTCCCTTGCTTCATCTCCCCCCTAATCTACACTCTCCCGTGCTTCCTCTCCCCCCTACTCTACACTCTCCCTTGCTTCCTCTCCCCCCTACTCTACACTCTCCCTTGCTTCCTCTCCCCGCTAATCTACACTCTCCCTTGCTTCCTCTCCCCCCTACTCTACACTCTCCCTTGCTTCCTCTCCCCCCTAATCTACACTCTCCCTTGCTTCCTCTTCCCCCTACTCTACACTCTCCCTTGCTTCCTCTCCCCCCTACTCTACACTCTCCCTTGCTTCCTCTCCCCCCTACTCTACACTCTCCCTTGCTTCCTCTCCCCCCTACTCTACACCCTCCCTTGCTTCCTCTCCCCCCTACTCTACACTCTCCCTTGCTTCCTCTCCCCCCTACTCTACACTCTCCCTTGCTTCCTCTCCCCCCTACTCTACACTCTCCCTTGCTTCTTCTCCACCCTACTCTACACTCTCCCTTGCTTCCTCTCCCCCCTACTCTACACTCTTCCTTGCTTCCTTTCCCCCCTACTCTACACTCTCCCTTGCTTCGTCTCCCCCCTACTCTACACTCTCCCTTGCTTCCTCTCCCCCCTACTCTACACTCTCCCTTGTTTCCTCTCCCCCCTAATCTACACTCTCCCTTGCTTCCTCTCCCCCCTACTCTACACTCTCCCTTGCTTCCTCTCCCCCCTACTCCACACTCTCCCTTTATTCCTCTCCCCCCTACTCTACACTCTCCCTTGCTTCCTCTCCCCCCTAATCTACACTCTCCCTTGCTTCCTCTTCCCCCTACTCTACACTCTCCCTTGCTTCCTCTCCCCGCTAATCTACACTCTCCCTTGCTTCCTCTCCCCCCTAATCTACACCCTCGTTTGCTTCATCTCCCCCCTAATCTACACTCTCCCTTACTTCCTCTCCCCCCTACTCTACACTCTCCCTTGCTTCCTCTCCCCCCTAATCTACACTCTCCCTTGCTTCCTCTCCCCCCTACTCTACACTCTCCCTTGCTTCCTCTCCCCCCTACTCTACACTCTCCCTTGCTTCCTCTCCCCCCTAATCTACACTCTCCCTTGCTTCCTCTCCCCGCTAATCTACACTCTCCCTTGCTTCCTCTCCCCCCTACTCTACACCCTCCCTTGCTTCATCTCCCCCCTAATCTACACTCTCCCGTGCTTCCTCTCCCCCCTACTCTACACTCTCCCTTGCTTCCTCTCCCCCCTAATCTACACTCTCCCTTGCTTCCTCTTCCCCCTACTCTACACTCTCCCTTGCTTCCTCTCCCCGCTAATGTACACTCTCCCTTGCTTCCTCTCCCCCCTACTCTACACCCTCCCTTGCTTCATCTCCCCCCTAATCTACACTCTCCCGTGCTTCCTCTCCCCCCTACTCTACACTCTCCCTTGCTTCCTCTCCCCCCTACTCTACACTCTCCCTTGCTTCCTCTCCCCCCTACTCTACACCCTCCCTTGCTTCATCTCCCCCCTAATCTACACTCTCCCGTGCTTCCTCTCCCCCCTACTCTACACTCTCCCTTGCTTCCTCTCCCCCCTTATCTACACTCTCCCTTGCTTCCTCTCCCCGCTAATCTACACTCTCCCTTGCTTCCTCTCCCCCCTACTCTACACCCTCCCTTGCTTCATCTCCCCCCTAATCTACACTCTCCCTTGCTTCCTCTCCCCCCTACTCTACACTCTCCCTTGCTTCCTCTCCCCCGCACCACGCACACTCTTCTCCAGAGTTGGATGTGGAGCAGCTTGCCAGGGCTGCCATGCACCTCAGTGCGCCCATTTTGAACAACGGGAAGCCTTTTGCCGATAATGATTATGCTGTTGATCATGGTGCTGGTAATGGGGTTGTTGCTCACGATGATGGTGCTTATGGTGATGATAGTAATGCGGCTCCAGCTGATGCTGCTGCTGCTGCTGATGCTGGTGATGGTGATGGTAATGGGGATAACGTGGGAGCAGCAGCACAGGTAGCAGAGGCAGATTCACATGGTTCCAAGGATCAAGAAGCTGGATCACGCGCAGCAGGCGAACCCGACATGGCCGCACAGGCTGCTGACACGTGGCAGCAGCTGGCCCAGTCCACGTCAGCAGACATCCTATCCTCCCTGTCAGCAGCAGTGTGCGCGTACAGCAACGGGTGCGAGCCCTCGTGGGCGTGGGGCTGACAGGCGAGGAGAAGAGGCGGGCAGCGAGAGAGGCATCTGAAGCGGTGTCAGGAGGATGGTCTTTCTCAACGGATTACCATGAGGATGAGGATGGGTTAAGGGAGCTGGTGGCGTGTCGAGGGGGGCGGTACAGGAGTGTGAGTGAGATCCTGGCGGGGGACAGCGGGGAAATGAGCGGTGAGGAGGAGAGGGCAAGCAGGGAGGGAGAAGAGGAAGAGGGAGAGCAAACAAGTGGCCCGTCGGGTGGGCCGGCTGGCGGTTGGGCGGGCAAGGCGGTGTGCTCGCCCGGTGTGATGCGGTGGGTGCAGGAGAGGGAGACAGTGCTGCAGTTCCGCATGGTGAAGAAGTCGATTCTGAGGGAGGCAGATGTGGCCATGGGTGAGTGGTGCCGCAGCATGAGCCATGCTGTGAGCTAACGACATGCTGCGGTGGGATGGGGTTAGGTTGGGTTGGGATGGGTTGGAATGGGGTAGGAAACTCTCATGCTGTAACGGGGGGATGTGGTGGGTGCATGGGAGGAGGGCAGTGCTGCAGTTCTCACATGAATTTGTTGGGAGACATGGAACGATAAGCTTGATATGGTGCTGCTGTTCTGCATGGTGGACTGGTCGTGCTCTGCTCTGGGTGAGTCGAGAGTTACCGTAGTAAAACATTTCCCCTCACACAAGCCATGGACAGAAGAAGCTTCGGTAGTAATTTTGTTGTCACTGTCACATCACATTTCCTGAAAAGATCCAAGGCTGCTAAAGCGTCACAGCAGTATCGGTAATTCTATTTTTTGCATGGTACAAGAGAGAAGGAAAGACAAGCTGTAATAATAATAATAATAATAATAAGAATAATAATAATAATAATAATAATAATAATAATAATAATAATAATAATAATAACAATAATAATAATAATAATAATACACGGTACGTGTTAGACGTTATATTCTTAGTAATGTGTCTCATATGGGGTACAATAATTAGGTTTATGTACTCCAACCAACTTGAGTCAAAACATTCTTCTGTTCTTGACACATGGTATCACCTAGGTTAGGATCCTGTGGGATCCCGTTCCTCTCGTTCACGTCCGTAGCGCCCGAGCCTGTCCCGTACCCTAGTGCCCCTTACGCCCGTACTGTCCCCTAGCGCCTATCACGTTCGTCTCTCTCGTGCCCTAGCGCCCGCTGCGCGTGTCGTCGTGTCGCCCCTGCTGTCCCGTCCCATCCCGTCGCCCCTGCTGTCCCGTCGCGTCGCCCCCTGATGTCCCATCGCGTCGCGCCTGTCCCTGCTGTCCCGTCACGTCGCGCTGTCCCGCCGCGTCGGGCCGTCCGTCTCCTCCCGTCCTGTCCGCGTCGCGCTTCCCGTCCCGTCCCGTCGCACGTGCCCCGTGCGCCCTGCCCGTTCATCGCGCCCCCGCTGCGCCTTGCCCGTCCGTCGCGCCCCGTGTGCCCTGCCCGTCCATCGCGCCCCGTGCGCCCTGCCCGTCCGTCGCGCCCCCGTTGCACCCTGCCCGTCCGTCGCGCCCCGTGCGCTCTCCCGTCCGTCGCGCCCCCGCTGCGCCCTGTTCGTTTGTCGCGCCCCGTGCGCCCTGCCCGTCCGCGCCTATCGCGCCCGTTCCTGCCAGTCGCGTCCTGTCCCGTCGCGTCGCACTGTCTGTCACGCCCTACGCATGCCCTTTAGGCGTTTAGGGTTTCGGCAACAGCATTTCCCACCTCTTCGCTTCCGCTATGGCGACCCCTAGGGTCCTGCGCTTTGACGCCGAGGGTAGGCCGCTTGAATTCTCCGTCTGGCTCCTGTGTGCGCACCGCCTTTTAGAGAGCCATGTTCAGGCAGATGAGTCTTTGTGGGCACACGCTTATGGCAACCTTCCTAAGCAGAGTGAAGCATATTGACGTGAGGTACTTTCTCCTGCGACAGCTACAGCAACGCGGCCAGGCTCGCTTGGACTTTGTGGCCTCAGAGGCCAACACTGCCGACGTCTTCACCAAGGCCTTGGCGCCTGGTGACCATCACAGGTTCTGTGTGCAGCTAGGGCTTGTTGAGGTAGGCCCACGGTTGCTGTAGTATTTCTCTTGTTGCGTATTCCGCTTGTTATTGCCCTTATATATATTGTGCTCTCTTGAACTGGTCTTGTGGCCGCTTGCTTGTGCTCGGAATTTGTGTGGTGTCATTGAGATCCACCCTGAGCTTACTTTGCTTCTCGTATTGACTGGTCTTGTGACCGTTTGTTCACCCTGCTTGCTCCGATGCCCCTCACTTAGCCTATGGGGGTGTG